TGGGCACTTGAAAGGCTGCAGCCCTCCTTGAGGTGGCTACCTGTTCAGATAAGGCTCCATCTGCTTGACAGAGAGAATTCCCAGGCCTGTCATGCTTTAGCCCATTCTTGCTCATTACTCTAGCTCATCTTCGTCATCCCCTCCCCCCCCCCTTGGGAGAATTGATGGAGCCCTGAGAATTTAGAAATAAATAGGACTCAAATATCAAGTATAATCCGTTGGCACACCTTTCAGGTGATTGATTTGGCAGCGTGTTAAAAGATTTAAATACGTTCACATCCTTTGACTGCTAAGTGTGTATCCTAAGGAAGGGTAGATATGCATCGAGATTAGTGCAGAATGTTAATATGCACATTACAGTATTATTTACATGTGCACATTTACGGTGTTACAGTATTAATTAGACTACTGAAATTTGGAAGTAAGCCAAAATGTTTCATGTGAGGGAAATAAGTTTTCTCCAAGGAAGAGCACAGCAACTGCTTATCCAATACCAAATGATTTACTTTGAAAATACACATACAAGTACATACAGATTGTACAGGTTAGATTTGGTTAACCAATACCAAATGATTAACCTTGAAAATACACAGACAATAACATTATACAGAGTAAGCATATTATATTTAGGGATATGTCTGTACATGTGTGTGCACACACATACACACACATACACACACGCATACACACACATACACACACACGCATGCATGCATGTAACAGCAATTAATGAGAAAAGAGACCATGGGTTTGAAAGAGAGCAAGGAGGGACATATATGGGAGGGCTTGGAGTGAGGAAAAGGAAAGGGAAAATGATGTAATTATACTATCTTTTATCTTAGAAAAATAAAATAAAATATCCACCTTATTAAAAATGATCCTGCTGGAGAAGCTTTAATTCTAGAGGAAATGTTAAGTACGTAGTGTCACATGACAGTAGTATGGAAACACTGGGCTGTCAATCATGTGGCCATGTGAAAAAAGACAAAGAATCCAATAAGCTTTTGGCACTTTCAAGTTGTGCAGTTACAGATAATTGGAGTCTTCTACATACTTGTCCTAATTTTCAAATTGCTATGGCGAGAAAGATTCTGTTCAGCAAAAGAAGTAATTTTCTTGATGAAAAAAAAAATGAATGCTGATTTTGTTAAATGATGTTTTTCTTTGACACTGTTCACCTTAGACAATTTGCGGGGAAAAAAAGAGGTAGGGCATTGAGGCCTCCGGATGAAACCGAGTGAAAGAAGTAAGACTCTTCTGTAGACGGGAAGGAATACCATTTTTTTCTGATTATAAAATACTCCTGAGGGCAGCGGAGGAAGAAGCCCCGTACACTGTTGTAGGGTCAGCATAGCGACTATGGAATAGAGTAGAGCTATGGATTCTAAGAGTAGCCTGCTGACTGTGAAGTGGAGATCATCTACCATGTTCTACTGCCGCACATAGAAGCAAAAGACATGAGATCAGTCTGGCAAAGTCACAACTGCCCACACTGCTGACAGTGACCAGGACACGAAATCCCACTTGTCTATCAACTGACTAATGGAAGAAGACAATTTGATGTTCACACACAGAATGCTATTCAACCATAAGAATGAAATCCTAGCATGCGTGACATTGTGGAAGTACTACATGAGGCTTTAAAAAAAAAGAAAAGAAAAACCACCGAAGATGAGAGTAGATTCAGGGACTGGTGAGGGGTATTAGGGAGGAGAAATGGGAAGAGGTTAATCCTTGGTTAAATATTATAGTTGCTTAGGAGGAGAAAGCTCTGCTGTGCTATTGCCAAGGAGGTTGACCGTAGTATGTATCTCAAAATAGAAGAGAGTAATTTGAATACACTTGCAAAAAGGATTGACAGAAGTTTAACGTGACAGATATGTTAATCTCCCAAGTTGATCATTGTCTAATGGATTTGTGAATCAAAATATTAATCTTACCTCAAGAATGTGTGGAAATGTTACGTGTCAGTCAAAAATTTTACATGTCATTGAAAATTTTGAGGGAGCAAAAATCGAAACATTGAAAACAGTCATCTTTGATCATCAATATTCCTCCATCACCACTGTGTTTACTTCATCCTTTTTTTGTGTGTCAACACAGAACACACAAACATACATGCAATTAGAACCACTAATTAAATGGTTTGGTGCCATGATTTTTCTTGATATGAGACCATGAATATCACATAATTTTCTGTTAAGTGATGCACAAAATGTAGCATGGAGATGATTGTTGTGGCTGCCCTAGCTTCCTAGCTTACTTGTTTATGTGGGCCCAGAGCCGTCTCTGGGGGCCCATTGGATGCAAAGTAATCTGGGAGTGCTCAGTTCAGCTGCGGGACATTGGATGATGCCAGCAGAAGTACTAAGTACATGGTACTGAGTTTGAGTCCTTGGCAACTTAGCTAAACTCATGGTCCACGAGAGAATAAACACTCTATTTTCTCCCTAGGAGAGGTCATTAATAAAATTAACCTTGGAAAGGGAAGAGTGATCCTTTGGCAGCGGCCCCTAGCACTCTTTGATATGCTAACAGCCTCAAAGGAGGACTGCAGCTGGCAACTGGCTTGCTAACTTAGGGGCAGCCTAGTAATTTACTATCCGCTGCGAAAGAGGAGTTGAGTATGTGACCACGGCAGAGGAAAGTGTCTGCTATGCCTTTCAGACTACTGAAGAGGCTGGAGTAGACAGTCACAAGCCAACAGTTCCCATCGTCAGGAAGAATGTTTTCTGTTTCTCCTTTTGCCCTCCATTTGTAGACGACCGACTTAGCTGTTCTTCATTGCATACTTGCTCGCAGCGAGAGACCGGATGGATGGCTCCTTCAGTTTGCCTAACAGCTAGCAGAGGATGGGCTGTAGCACTTTCAAAAGAGGCTTCTGAGGAATTTAGTTGCTGTGATAACTTAGTGTTGGCATGTCACACTAAGGCTGTGAGGTGCAGCGTTTATAGCGAAGGAGGAATTAGTGCTTATGTATAAAAGACAGCTTCCTCATAATGTAAACGCGCGGGGCTGATTTATGGCACCGAACAAATGGATTGAATGGAAAGAGCTTCTACTCTCTCAAGGTTGTGGGTTCCTTCTAGAATCCATTCTAGCTCATTCATCAATAGCCAGTTGATTGTTTATATAGAAGGAACTAATGGTATTTAATAGCACAACCAGAGTTCCTTTGACCCTTTTCAAGAATTTTGGATGTTTATTTGATGGAAGACAAGTGACCGGCGATAGAAATTCCAGAAGCACATGATGTCCTCTTTTAAAAGGCAGGATATTTACATAGACTACTTTGATAGGACAACTTTGGCTTTCCACTCAAGTTTTTCCCATGTTAAGCCAGTAATTTCTACACTGGAAATAATTGAATTTTAGAGCTGAGAAGTGTTTATAGTCCCCAAGCTCAGTTCTTACACCCACCAGGCCTCTGGGAAATCGAATAGTCTGCAGCTAAAGTGCATGGGAGGAAGGAGGGAAGAAGCCCCAATTCCTAAGTTTCAGCTGTGTGCGATGCTTCCAGCATTACACCTTCCAGATAGTGTAAACTCTCTTCCCATGGCTGATGGTGTTTCATCCCTTAGTTTCCACCCAGTAGTTGCTTCCAGTCTCGTGGATGTCTGGGACGTTTCACAACCTTGGAAGGTAGAGCTGTTAAGCATTTCCCTTTGGATAAACAGCTCTAAGTTTTATAAGGCTGTAGGCCTTCTCAGCGGACCTCCCAACAGCTTGACCTTCATTTCTGTTCCCCCCCAGATGGATTATGTTCGACATCACTAGGCGACATAAGCCAGTCTGTTAAAAGATGTTCTAAATGGTTGCTGGCATCAATTCTAGGAGCGACGATAGCGTCACTCCGTGTATTATTAGTAGTGCCTATGTATATTGAGCATGACTTTGTGCCAGCATTGGCCATGTGGGGTGCGAGAGAATGGCCTGTTTTGTAAACGGGCCGTCGGAGGCTTTTATTTTCTCAACCATGGCATGTAAACCTCGAAGTAGGAGTCTTAGGCTTTCCCCACCATTCACACTGCTTGAGGCTCGTAGCGTATTACAGTGCTGAGTTCTACTCCTCAGCTGTGGCCAATTGTGAGCTCAGGGAGTTTCGGCTGCTTGAGCCTCACCGCACGTACACTGAAGCTTCCAAATGGGGAATTACAGAAATAAACCTGTTCACAAATGCTCGGTTACCGCCTCCTCTCTGACGTTCAGACAGCAGGAGCTTCCCGGAAAGCAGACTCTACAAGCAGTTGCTGGATAGGCGCTCTAAGTTCCAATTAACTCAGCCTCTGATCAGTGGGAACTCTGGTTTACAGCACCCTTGGCTGCTTCCCTTAGCCAACTCTTGTATTATAATTGGTCTCCCTAACGATTATGGAGGATGATTGCTATGTGTCTTGGCCTAGGCAGGTCTTCTTCAGCAGTTAGGATCTGACCACGATCCTGAGGAGCAAGAATAATGTCCTGGATGGGTGGGACCCAGATGGAGATGAGAATTGCAGCTCTCAAGAAAGTTGCTGCAAATGACGGCTGTGACCCCATACCTGAATGTATATTGCTGCTGCTACTCTTTTCTGGCTTGCTTGCTTGCTCATTTGTTTGTTAAGACCGTCTTGCGTCTAGCCTCAACTTCACTGGGTAGCTGAGATTGGCCTTGAACTCCTGCCTCCCAAGTGCTGGCATTACATGCCGTTGCCAAGTCCAGCCTGCCGTTTTTGTTGAGGGATTGCAGAATGTTGTACTGATTACTGAGACTGCTGATTTAAATTTTCCTTCTCGTTCTCTATGAGAAAGAATGACATTGTGACATAGGCTTCCTATCATTGACAAAGATTTGAGATGCAAATTCCCCAGAAGTAGTACACTTTTTTACAGACATACTTTCCAGTTGAATGTCACAATTATTTTTCAGTTTTCAAATTTGCCTCATTCAGCTATTTAATTACTAGAAAACAGCCTTTCTAAATGTTTTTCTCCCTCCCTTTTTTGGCTTTTCTTTTTAGAATTCTTCAAAGAACTACTTGAAAATGCAGAGAAATCCCTGAATGATATGTTTGTGAAGACATATGGCCACTTATACATGCAAAATTCAGAACTATTTAAAGATCTCTTCGTAGAGTTGAAGCGCTACTATGTGGCGGGAAACGTGAACCTGGGAGACATGCTCAATGACTTCTGGGCTCGCCTTCTGGAGCGCATGTTCCGCATGGTGAACTCTCAGTACCATTTTACAGATGAGTACCTGGAATGCGTGAGCAAATACACAGAGCAGCTGAAGCCCTTTGGAGATGTCCCTCGGAAACTGAAGCTCCAGGTTACACGCGCCTTTGTTGCAGCCCGGACTTTTGCTCAAGGCTTAGCAGTTGCAAGGGACGTGGTGAGCAAAGTCTCTGTGGTAAGTTCTCTGTGTGGATTTTGGGTTTTGATTTTTCTTTGTTTGCTGTCAGAAGGAGGTTGCAGAAAGATTCAAAAGCAAGTCATTAGGGTTCGGTTGGCTCACTAACAATCTTTTCTTGGTTTCTCACCTCCCACACTTTGTCCACACTCTTTAGACTTAACTCACCACTGCTAGGGCAAGATTTATTTTTGTTTATTATTCATTTTTTGTTTCTTGAGACAGGGTTTCTCTGTGTAACCTTGGCTATCCAGGAACTCACTTTGTAGACCGGACTGACCTTGAACTCACAGAGTTCCGCCTGCCTCTTTCTCCCAAGTGCTGGGATTAAAGGCGTGCACCACCACCACCACCGGGCTAGGATGAATATCTTTATATATCATTGTTATTTTCTGTAGTTTCCTTGGTAGCCATTCTTAAGTGGGATGCACATTGACTCCAAAGTCTTAATTTTAAAAATAATTTTAACAACTCATTCCCCATCTGTTTTTAGTTCTTTCTCTTTGTGCAAAAGAACCCTCCCCACCTCAGGCTCCACACCTAGTTATTTTGGATGAGCATGTTTGAGCCCACTAGCTGCAATTAGGAAATCATTAGTATCCATGGCCATTTGTCCTTATAAAGTGTGCTCAGAGCTTTCATGACAATTGCTGTGCACTATTCAGGTCATGATGATCATGACTTTGGTTCGAGAATTACCACTACAGACAATACTATTGTAATACATGGTAAAAATGAACCTCTCGTAAATTAAATGAGATGACGTAGACCAGGATTTTTCAGATTGTATTGCATGGAGCCACCTTAGAAGGGTCTTCATGAGCCTCCGTGAGGCGAAGCAAAGGAGACCTTTGTATTGGTTTAAGACTGAGTTCTGTGCTTTAGCTGCCATAGAGAAGCTTTGCTCTCCTAGATTTCCTGCAGTAGAATTCTGAGCAAGATTTCAAAGTGGGAATGGTTCACTCTTCAGTGAGATGTGCAAGTTTTTAGTTTCTGTAGCGCCGGGAACAGAAGCCCAGGGCCATGCAGATGTGTAGCCAGTGCCCTTCCTTCCGGTGAGCTGTGGCCCTTAAGCTCCGGAACACTTGTGAAGGACCTTGTACCACTAAGCTTACTTGAAGCATTTTGGAATTTGGGACTGCAGAAGGTATTGAGTGTTCTGAACTTTATGACTGATGTGCGAGGGCCCAGCTCACTGTGGATGATCCTGCTACCCTTGGGCAGGTGGTCAGGATAGTGTAAGAAAGCAGACTGAGCAAAGCTGTGGAGAGCAAGCCAGTACGTAATACTCTTCCACGGCTTCCCCAGTGTGGACTGTGACCCAGGGTGTGTAAGGCAAACTTTTCCTAGGTTGCTTTTAGTCATGTCTATTACAGCAATAGAAAGCTAACTTCAGACATCTTTTATGACTTAATACCAGGGAAGAAGCATCTATACTGCAGCAAAGTTATCTTGGTCAGACTGCTCTTTTCCTTTGGCTCCCAAGTGGGTAGCCAATTTGTTAGCCACTGTTAACACTGGGCACACTGTCTGTGTGCACAGATAGTGGCTTTTGCTTTTGTCATTTAGTTGTTTTCACTATTAGACAAAAGGTCAACATGAAAACAGCCAGCAGATCAACGATCACAGAGTTCATCTTAGAGTTCAGATGACCAGGTCATTCATTATCCAAACCAAGGCACTTACTGTCTAAACCAGCAGATGCGTATTAACAAACATAACCAGGCAACAGGGACCATTAACTGTTAATGAGCAACCAAGTGCACAGAACGTACCTGCCACCTTAGTTGAGAGGAAGCCAGTGTTTACCAGAGGGAAGCACATGAATCTAAAAATAGGATGTTACAGAAAGTAGATGCTGATTATTGGGACTTAGAAAATAATATGTATTGTATTCAATTAACTGATTCTCTCTTGTCAAGGCTGTAAATTGTTAGGGATTTCTTTGCAGTATATTTTTGCCCACCCTCTCCTTCTTCTTCTGATTCCTTCATTGTCTGTGGCAAATATTTGGTGGGGCATATGGATCAAAGGTAGTTAGAAAACTAATCTTAATGCTGTACTTCTGTCAACTGCAGAAATCATTTTTAATCTTGGAAATACTTAGGTCTCAGTCTGGACGTAGCCCACCGTCCACAAGTCTTTGAGGCCCATGCCATTGGCATAGAAGCTCACCTGACACATTTGCCCACTTTTAGCAATTCTTCACGTTCATCCTGAGGTGAATGGGCAGGAAGGAGTTAATGTGTGCTGTAAATGCCTGTATATACATGCGGACCTGTGTGCTATGTGTACATTATGCAGAGAAAAATAAGAGTGTACATACCGCCCTAAGCAATTGTTTGAAAAAAAAAGCACTTTCTTTACATTAACCAAATGTAGGTACTACTGTTAGTTGGGCAAGAAGAAAAGCTACTTTTTAACATAACTTCTTAAGGTTTTTTTTTTTGTTTCAGAATTGAGCTCTCTTCTGTATTCATTTTTTTACTTATGACTTCCTAAACGTTTATAGTTTAATGGGTATATAGTGAATACAAGATATATCCTGTAATTTACACAAGGCAAAGTTATTTGCCAGTTGGTTAAAAAAATATCATCAAGCTACATTAAATGTTATGCTTGTAACCGGAAAATAAACAAATAAATAAATGGATTTTTTTGGCTTCACTATTGAATAATTTCGAGAATTAATGACTGATTTTAAAACCACAACCTTCAACTAAGTTAGTTTGTATTATTTGAATAACAATAGTAAAACACATAGGTATTCAATCAAAAGAAGGCAAAATTAGAGTTGTATCAGATCTCTCATGGGATGTCTCTGTGTAGCAGTATGCCAGGTATTGTTGCAGACTTGGGAAAATATTTACTGGATTAATGTTTGGTGTGGAGCTTCCAGTTAAATGGAATTTAAACGTTTGCTCTATGGGGAATGTAGTAAATGACCTAACTGTTAAAAATGTATATTTTAAACCGAGTAAGCAGAAAATGGATATGATTAACTCATAATTTGGTTCTCTACCAGTTTATATATTGTTCTCCTTGGAAGGAGAACAATTTAACATATGTAGTTTTATGGTACTTCATAAAATCAGTGCCCTCTAACCTGAGAAAAAGCCTTTCAGAGTAGGGAATCTTTTTGCCAACTGAGGTGATCCAAACCACTGGCTACAAAGAAATCTTTAAAGGCAAGCTGCAGAAGCATCCTGGCCCTTGGGGCTGCTCCCTGAATGCTTGCTTAACTCAGAGGTGGTCTCACTTTCTAGTGGGTGGATACCTTGTTTTTCCAGCTCTCTTTTTGCACCTCCAAGATGAACAGTGATTTGATTACAGCAGAGCCATTGAGAGGGCCGTCAGTATCAGCAAGCTGTCCTTCCTCCCAGAGAAGAGTGCTGCTTGGGTGAAGGACTCGTTCCTTGTTCCTTGCTTCATTTCATATTCGCTGGACCCAGCAGTCTCAGCATACTCCTTGGAGCCTTAAGATCTCAACTGCAGAGATACCCTCCCTCTTCATTAGAAACAGACGGTTCACGAATAGCCTGCCGCTACATGGCTCATGATGCGTTTTTTTTTAGTTACCTGCTTGTAGCAGCAGTTTTGCCTAGAAGGGCGGAGTCTATTGTGGTGCTTAAGAAATGCACAAGTGGTTACATGCACCATGAAAATTAATAGCTCTTCTGCCAAAGAGATACATTCTCATGGTTTCAATTAACACTGGCATAATAGGACTGTGTCTACACCCGCACCCCAAACTACAGGGGCTATAATTAGACAATAGTGTCTTACCATCGAGGTCTATGAAGGACTCGCCTGCCTTTTAAGCCATTTCTGTGGATCCCTCTTTACTTCTATTCTCTTAACGATTCTCAAGACATTTTGTTGTTTTCCCCACATCATTAAAAGTGTAAATAAGCTTTTAAGAAACTCAAGCCAGCCTCTGAAGGACAAATGCTGGCTATTTGCTTTGTAATTTCTAGGGTTTATATAGCTACTCTGACATAAAACTGCAATATAAAAGTAGAAGAGGAAGCATCTAGGGGGACAGAAGGAGACTGGAAGGGAAAGGAGGGATAAAGAAGAGGGATAAAGGGATGTCTGCTCGATGTGCTTGTATGAAAATTAGCATGAGGTAATAGTACCACACACAATGCCTAAAAGGAAATAGAGCAAAGTAGAAAAAGAACAAAAAATGTAGAGTCTTTAAGGGAGGTAAAAAAATCATATTTTCATATATGAAGTATAGGAGTCCAGTGATTTCAAAAATAAGGCACAACTTCACATATTTGTATAGCCTCTGTGTTATCTACAATGTGCCCACAAATATTCTTGAGTGAATTTGAGTTGATTGAACACATTATGCTTTCAAAATCGCCGTATCCGATCAGTAGTGAGAGAAAGCCGCATCTTCTTGGTATGTGTACTGAATTGAGAAGGACTTAGGAAACTGCTGACCAAACTCATCACATCCCACGGCAAGTGTGGGCACCCTAGCTCCTTCTCTTACCAGAATTTGGTGAAATATTTCCTGTTGTTTTTATCGGGTGCTTATGTTACCAGGCAACAGATGAAAAGCTAAACCTTTTCTGTTTGTTTGGTGTGAGTGGCTGTGTGAAGAAAAAAAAAAAAAGCAGGCGAGTTGGGAAGCGGAGCGCAGCAACAAATGCATGCTCAGAGCTGGAATAAGCTACAAGGCAATGTGTTTCTAACTTGAGGGCAGCACGCTGACTGCCATTGCTGTGTAATGTGGCTGAAGGCCCACTCTGGATTTTTGAAATGAAATCCAGGCCGTGGGAAGAGCTCCATTCTAGCATTTTTCTTTTTGCAGACTGCTCACTGGACGTTTTAATGTGGTGCTTGGAAAATGCGGGTTATTTGGTAGAAAGGCTTTAAAAAAAATAGGCTTTCCAAGGGGACTTTTCTATAAAGGCTTTTTATAGCAGATATGGCCTACAGATGTCATAATACATGTATATACTCGGGAAGGCTGAGAGGAGGGGGAT